CAAACACAGTTACGCACATATCGGATAATATCATGTTGCATCTTTGGCCAATAGAAAGACCTGTGCAGATTCTCAGTCACACAACGATGTCCCATATGCCCACCTGGAATAGAAGAATCATGGTAGGAATGGAAAAATCACAGAATAGAGATAGAAAGCACCACCAGCTGTAAATGATCATCAAGATCTGTCCCCACCAAATAAAGAAGGCCATCTTCAAAGCGATATTGAGAATGTAAATGCCGAAAAGGCAAGTCATTAGCAAATGATGTAGGATTCTCAAACGCATCTCAAAGCCTTCAAATCCATGGCTCAATCTTTTGAGCCTCGCGAACCTCATCAATAGAAGGTAGATCTTGCTCTGCACCTTATGGACATTGAACATCAAGTACAGCAACTGCCGACGGCATAAAATCCTTGTTTAGAAAATCCACAAATGTTGGAACAACAGGCTCATAAAAAACATGAGAAGAGAGTGGAGAAGGAAGAGGAGCTCGAGAAAGGGCATCAGCATCGGCCATAGAACTCCCTGAGCAATGAACAATATCAAAATCATATATCTAAAGCTTCAAAGCCCACTGAACAGTACGACCAACCATGTTCTTCCACTTTAATAATGAAGTAATGGTAGCATGGTCACCTTCAAGTAACGTCTGAGAACCATGTAGATATGCATGAAGTTTTTCAAAACCCCAAATTGCCACTATTAGCGGCAATTAGTAAACACTCCTTCTTTGTTGTAAAGTAATTCACCTCTACTGGTTGTAACATATGCAATGGGATGATGCTGACCAGACACATTTGGGTTTTCTTGCATCAACACACCTCTAAGACTAATATCAAAAGCATCTACGTGCAAAATAAAAGGTTGAGTGTAGTAAGGATATGCCAAAATTAGAGGAGTCGTCAACAGTTATTTGAGATCTACAAACACCCACTCACAATCTGAAGACCAAATGAAAGATGACATTGATGACTTCAGCAACGCTTGCAACGGTGCAGTGCGATCAGAAAAATGATCCACAAAACAACCGAGATACTACACCTTGCTCAGGAAATGTTGCACATCATTCACACACTTCGGAGTAGGGAACTTTAGAATAGCCGCAAGTTTGTCAGGATCAACTTGCAAACCCTCACGAGAAATACGGTACCCAAGATAAATTGTGTCTTTGGTCCCAAGCACACACTTTGACTTCTTCAGCTTTAAACCAACGTCCTGTAGCCGATCCAACACTTTACACACATCACGAATGTGCTCCTCCTACGTTCCTGCCGAGTGAATCAAAACATCATCAATGAAGTCAACAGTCACTTCTAGCATATCACAAAGAACCTCGTCCATCATTTGCTGGAAAGTTGCTGGAGCATTGTTCAAACCAAACGGCATCACCAAGAACTCATACAAACCAAATGGTGTATAAAAAGTAGTGTTAGGAATATCTTCTTTGGCCATCGGTACTTGCCAGTACCTAGAAGCCAGATCTAGCTTGGTGAACCAACGACTTCACCCTAGACAATCCAAGAGATCAGCAGTGTGAGGAAGAGGGTACACATCCGGGATCGTCACTTTGTTTAATGGACGATAGTCAATGCAGAAATGAATACTCTCATTAGGCTTCATCACAAGATGAGGTTCACATGCCCAAGGAATCCGCGACTTCCAAATAACACCCTTCTCTAACATCTTCTTGATGTTTGCATGTAAAATCTTGATCTCCTTGGGTGACCCATGACGAATAGGAACCTTGATTGGATGAACATGTCCGGTTGGAATCAGATGACGTATGGCAATCTTAGCCCTAGACGATAGTCAAATTCAAAGAGATCAGAATACTCCTTTATGAGCTGGTCAACCACTGCAATGCAAAGATTGTCGAAGGGATCAGAAAAGGGAAGAGTAGAATAAGACAGAAACATAGGAAGAAATAATGGGGGAACAAAAGTAATGGAAGCAAAGGTAGAAATAAAGGGACGAAGAGGTACAGAAGTGAGAAGAATGGATAAAACATAAGGAAGTATGAAATAAGAGGAAGAAAGGAAATGAAAAAAGCTAGATCTAGACAATACAAAAAGCTAGATCTAAACCAAAATCCCAAATCCAAGCACTCCCCAATGCAGTTATTGCAGGTGGTGCTTAATAGCTTTAAGATCCTAATATAGTAGGATACAAAGTGTGGTATATATTATAATTGCCTCTTTGGAAGTCACACTTCATTACCAATGTTGAAAATCTAAAAGGAAAACAAAGTCCAAAGAAAATATGTTAAGAAAGCTATTGCATCAATGGTAAATATGATTTTTATAAAACATTATGATAGTGAGAGGGGGAATGTTTTATAATTTGAGATATCTAAAAATATCCCTAAGCTAGGCTTCAACTCTTACAAACTAGTTTTTCATATGGAATACATATTGCAGTGCATCTTAGAGCATGGAGAATCTAGAGTGTAAGAATGAATATTTTACATGAGGGGTATATACCTTTTTTCCCTCTTAAGTTTAAGGTATGATGGATAATACATTTATAATGTATTTTAAAGTTTTACCTATAAAGTTTCTCTTGCCTTAAACTTACATTAAAATGAGAGAGGTGTGTTAGTTGTGCATCATATACACCATCATAAGAGTGTTTGAATCTAAAAAAGTTTTGATTTATAACTAAATTATTCATTTACGATTTAAAATTATAAATAACTATAGAGCAAGTTAAGCTTTATTATATAGCACATGGAAGTATAGAGCAAAATTGGGTTTCAAAAAATTTGAGGAGTTTGAGTAATTGTCAAATGCAAAATTATAATTCTTATATTTCCCAATAACTTAAGGTAATCATACACCCCTTAAGACGTATTCTAACCTTTACAAAAATACTTCTCAATGGAAAGGACAATATTTCTCTAAAAGAAGATAGTAAATTTGCTAGGAGCAAGGTGTATTATGCTTTACCCAAGTAAAAATATTTCTTTATAAAAAAAGAAAAAAATTCCCCCTAATAATTCCACATAAAACCTAAGGCATTGATAACAAATTATAATAGTTAGTTGGAGTTGGAATGCAACCCCCAAATTAGTAAGCTCCACTTTTTGACGAAGTGTTGAGCAAAATGGGTAAAAAAATCTTAATTTGTCAATAGTTGCATTTCAATTTAAAAGAAACTTTATTTTACTATATAGATACACAATTATTTCAATATAAAACCATGGATGTTATGGTCATGTTCAACATCTTTATCAAAAAGAATAAATTAAAATTTTTTGAGAGGTTTATTGTAAACTAAAAGGTTTGATCTACATAATTTAGATGAGACATTAACTATATTGCCACTATATTTCTCCACATTAATTAATGTTCTTCCTTGGAAAACATTAAGAGTGGTTGTGACTATTTAATGTTTAAATGATGAAATTGTGAAAATGGGTGGAATATTGAGGATATATAATGTAATGATTTGATGGAAGTTTAGCATTTAGATAGTGAGTTATTAAAAATGTGATTACTCCTATTTAAACTTTTGATTTACTAGATATATAAATTTTTAACCTCAAAAATTGCTCTAATCATTTTAAATATGTACATCGAGGTTATTATGAAATATGGGAGGCCGAAGAAGCTTAAGAGGGACTTTGCTAAATAATTCAACTTGATCATGAATAAAAGTGCAAAATTGGGTTTAGGGTTGGTTTAGGGTTAGAAAAGGGGTAAACCCCCTTTTCTAATTGGTTAAAAGTCTTGAGATACTTGGGGTTAAGTGTTCTTGGGTTTGAATAGTATTGAATTGGGTGATCTTTCAGGAAATCCAAACTCAAGAGCTTATATTTGGTATCGAAGCAGTCTCAAATCAAACTCTATTGATTGACTAAGGGAATCACACCACATGTTAATTGACATTTGGCTGGTTTAATTTGCCCCCTGTGCTCAACCCAAGGGGTAGGGTGTTAAGAAAGTGGGGCTCTCAAGAGAGTTGCAGCTGTTAGCTTTCGTTCACGAGGGCGTGAACTTGCAGGGAAGCGTGATGGATTATAAACAACCAAAGGAACGACTCGAGAGACAGTCTATGGAGTTCAAATATAAAGGGAAAGGGCTTATGAATAAAAGTGCACCTCTTTTTCCTATCGGTTAAGGGTTTTAGGATACTTAAGGTTAAATGTCCTTGGGTTTGAATAATACTAGGTTGGGTGACATTTTGGGAAGTTTAAACTCAAGAGCTTACATAATGAAATGCAATGGATTAACATTTTTTTATACAACTTTTACACCTAAATTAACATATTTTTCATATACTTATATGATGTGCATTTACTTACTAAAGATGCTGATTTAATCAATGAAATTTGGATATTATTGATCATATTGAGGATATATAAATTTCCATACCTAAAAGTTTCTTAGCAAAATTATTTGAGTTTCTTAGTCTTGATTTCAAGGGTGTTGCGTAGTGTGTATTCCATAACAAATGGTTTCAATACACTCAAAGAGTTTTATTAATCACAACAATTTTGAAGCAAATTAATCATAAATATTAATTTTGCTAGATAAAAGATAGTTATCTAAGTTCAATTTATCAAATTTTTTTCATAAGTTCAATTATGCTATTTGAGAAATTAGAGCATTTTTTTTTTGAGAGCAGAACATTCTCAAGCTAGAAAATTTTTAATGCAATAACTTTCCAAGAACATACAAGTATTATCGACCAGCGTGATAACATAATAAAGACTTTACAAAAAGGATAATGTTAAAACTCTTTACTTCTTATTAACCAAAATATAAAAACCTCTTTAAAAAATTTACATGTTATTTTGCCTTCCACATGGGACAAATGTGTTGGCCCATCTTCGAAATCATTGAGTCCCAACTAGAAAAATACTGTAAACTTCTTTCAGATCTAGCATTGGAAGAGACATATACATCCCTTACTTTGCAAAGCTTGATTCCAAGTCCACTCCAGCAAGATTTTATATTAGTTTTTTAATTGTTTAATAAAATGAGAATCTGCGAGAATGGCGATGACACACGCGCTATCGACGGGAGGAGGCTTCTCGTCCAGGACAAGAGCAAAGGCACGGTAGAGGCGCTCGTCTGAGGCGCTGTGCCGCAAGCTGGCTCCGATCGACGCAAGGATTGCGTGGAGACTACTCCGGAGCACCATGATATCCCCAAGGAATCTTTTGTTTTCTCTCAGTGAATGCTTCCTCAGTTTTTTCCTTGGACTCTGGAAGCACAGATTATCTAGGAATTGGAAACACGGCCAGAGTTATTGGCTGGTATCATTCACATCCGCACATCACTGTTCTTCCTTCTCATGTTGGTGAGTTTCATCTCCTTCCTACGTGTGAGAAAAAAAAAAAAAAAAAAGTTCTTGTTCTTCGTTGTTGGTGTAGATCTTCGAACACAGCAGTCTTTCCAGATGCTGGATCCTGGGTTCGTTGGAGTCATATTTTCCTGCTTCGACGACGACGCAAACATGGTATCATCTCTTTTTCTTTGCGCCTTTTCAGGACTCCAATTTTGGTTTTGGTTCCAACGGGAACGGTCTTCCGTGGATGAAGCCTCCTCGTCTCTCTCGGTACTTGAGTCACAGCTCGTTTTTTTTTCTTCTTACAGACAGTTGTGGACATCAATTATACTCGCAGGATATCGGATTCGTAAAGCAATGAAATCGACCAGCGGCTTTCTCCAGGCATCGAAGAAGCAATGCATCTTTCAAGTCTTGACATGAGGTAAATACCGTTTTGCTTGCCATTCTCAAACTTCTCCTACGTAAAACAGTTCCGGAGATTTTTCACGAGAGGAGATCCCGATACAAGTAGTTCCTGTGTCCACATTCAACCTCGCCAATCCTCCTCCCGATCCTCTGCTTTCTTTGCAGCAGACAGTGTTTAACGAAGAAAAGGCTGCGTTCGAAAAAGCCATGCATCAAAGCAAACAGTTAAGTCCTTCCTGCTCAACTTCTTGACAAGTTTTCTTTCTTCTTGGTTCTCTAGGGGGCAGCGGATCCATCCTTTGGCAGCTTCACACCACTGCGTGACACACCAGGCGTCCCTTTTGAAACTTATGGAACTCTGGTACTCGCAGTTTTTCTGTTTCCTTTCACACTCTTCATTCGGGTTCTTTCTCTAGCCTTGCGCCTGCAATGACGACGCTGTGGGACAACCTCCAGCAGAACAAAGCGCAGGTGAGAAATCTGTCGGATCTTGTTTAGAGCGTGCGAAGTATTAAGTTTGCTTGTTTCCTGTGCAGCTTGCGCTACTGCAGCAGGAAGAAGCAGCGCTTGGCCTTAGATTCGATCGGCAGGCAGCCAGGAAACAAGCCGGACGCGATGGCACGCGATGGAACTCAGAGCGTGCTCAGCAAAGCATTCCCGATTTGGATCAACGTGTCCGAGGAAACACCGTATTCCTCTTAGTTTCCGCAAAGGGATTGAAGAGGTCCAAAGTTTCGGAGGCTTCTTCCGTGGCTGGACGAGTTCATGTAAGCCTTTTGCTACTTTGATCATGGAAGTTGGACGTTGTAGATCCAGAGAAGCTCCGCTCGAGAGTTCTCTTTGTCAGTGTGAAGCTCGAGAATTTTGCATGATAAACTCCGTGTTTGTACAAAACATAATTAGTTTAATAAACATGTTTAAGAGATTTTAGGGCTAAGAAAAGGGATATGCAAATTTAAACACAGATTAATTAGTTTAATAAATACATTTAAGGGATTTTAGGATTAAGATATTGGGATATGCCCTCGTATCTTGCTCTAGGGTAAGGCCATTTGCTCGTCAATGACGTCGGAGCCATTCCGGAGGTAGGCGCGATCGCCCGGCGCCTCGTTCTAAATTCTTCCTTGCTTGCCAGGCTCGTGAGGCTGGTGGCGCGAGCGTTCTACGACGATGAGATCCCCCACAAGGGCGCAAACCCTGGCAAGTCCGGCAAATCGGACAACAAGGGGATCAGTGTGGTGGTGCTGGATGCGCTGACGAGGTAAAGAAAATCAGCGCTGCAGGCATCTAGCTTCTTTGGGCTGTGATCAGATGATTCATGGGATCAGAATGACAGAAGACAATGGGTGAAAGAGGAAGAGCTGGCCAAGAGGCTCAAGCTCCATCCAAAGCAGCTCCGCCGGACGCTCAGAGTTCTCGAGGACGAGATGCTGGTGATTCGAGAGGACCACAAAGAGGTTTTTGCTCTCTTCTTTTTCTTTTCCTTGTTCTTGCGCTTTGGCATCTATCTTAGCTCTTTCTTTCAGACGACCAAGAATGCAAAGGTTTATAATGCAGCTGTGGCTGTCGCTGATGGCGAGCAGCAAGGTGGTCCTGCCAACGAAAAGACGAAGGCTCTTCTACATTCGTACTGCTGCTTAGATTATGCTCAGGTATAGCAGTAGAAGGTCGTGAATCTTACTTGGCTCTTGATTCCTTCGTGTCACAGATTTGCGATGTTGTTAGATATAGGATACACCGCGCGAAAAAGATGATCAAGGACGAACTCGAGGACAAGAACACTGTGCAAGAGTATGTTTGTCCGGACTCTGGTTGTGGTAGGAGGTAAGCGCGTCGAATTGCTCTGCTGCCAGCTAGAGAGAGTCGTTTTTGCTTAATAGTGTATTTCTTTTCTCACAGTCCTGTATTTTCTCTGTGAAGATACTCCGCTCTGGATGCATCAAGGCTGATCAGCCCAGTGGATATGAACTTCCATTGCGAGAGATGTGATGCCGAGCTTGTTGCAAACAATGATAAGCTAGCGCCTAAAGACCTTGGCGAAGGGAATAATGAGGAAAACGCGAGGCGGCGCCAACGCGAGAAACTCAAGGAGATGCTTGAGCGCATGGAGGTTTGTATGTTCTAGCCTGTCAAAGGTTTTGCTAACGTCGTTTCCACACAGGTCCAGCTAAAACCTTTGACGGACCAGCTCGCAAAGCTGAAAGATCTGACCCCTCCGGACTATGGATCATTTTCGCAATGGCAAGAAAGGACGCTGGCGCAGGCCAGGGGCGACGGAGACGGTGATCATAAAACTGCTAATGGAGAACGACCGAGCGTACCGATGCCGTTTCTGGGCGAAACCAAGGCAAGAGTTTTTTTTCTCTCGTCAAGACCACCTCTTATGTTTCATCGTTTCTATCAGGTGGAAGTGGCTTTTGCTGGCTCGGATACGAAGGAGGCTGTCAAAGAGGATCCTGGAAAATCCATGAAAGTTCTTCCGCCTTGGATGATACGGCAGGGAATGTCTCTAACAGCACAGCAACGGGGCGAAGTTAAGACCGAGGAGGGTGCTTCCTCCGACACAAAGCCAACCGTAGCGGCAACGATGGACGAGAAGCCCATGTCCGCCGAGAGGCAACTACAGGAGGAATACGTGAAGGCTTACTACGCAGCGCTGATGCTCCAGCAGCAGCAGCAGCAGCAGCAGCAGCAACAGCCGCCAGGCGATGCTCTGGACGAAGTCAAGAAGGAAGAACCGGATCAAGAGAATGGTTTTGCTGCGATTGCTGGAGATCGTGTTGTGGGGGCCAAGTCGAAGCGAGACGATGCCGAAGACGATGTAGAATGGGAGGAAGAAGCTCCATCCACAGGTTTGCGTTCTCCGATTTTATTCGCTTCCATCGCTAAGCTTTGCTAAGCTTTTGGTTTTTTGGCAGAGGCTGGAGTTGCTGGAGCTGCTGACGCTGGCGACGATGATATCGACTGGGAATGATCGTAGCCCACCACCACGTTGCTGGGATTATTTTTTGCTTTTCTCTCGCGGAAGAGAGCTAGATATAGCATAGCAAATTCGTGTGTTCTTTCCAATTTTTAATGTACGGAAGAACATTGGTGGTCTGGCCGTACGGTGGATCTGTTTAGAGTTAAGCTTCCCCACATTTTTAACTTTAACACGTTCTCAGTGGATTAGGGTTTTGAGGCTCGATGGGTGAGGAGGGACTCTTGCCCAAGGACTCGGCGGCTCTCATGACGATCCTGAGCGACAGGGAGCTCACCTTCGCCGGCGCTGTGGAGGTTTTCACGCGCCAGTTCGATGCGACGATGCACTTCCAGCTCTCGTGCAATCTCGTGCTGCTGCTCCAGGTACCGTGGAAGCAAGATTTTGCCCCATTTCCCTCATAGTTGCGATGATCGGCTAGGAAGGGATCATTCTCCAGAAAGAACAGCGGCTCGTGGCACTCTACATTCTCCACAGCTTGTATATCACACAGACCGAGACGAATCCATTCGTCTCGTTTCTTCTCCGGGTAAGTCCATGGCTAGCCTCTTTGTTTGGAGATATTTCCTCCATTGTTTTTCTAAGCTCTTCTCCACAGTTCACTGCCGACGAGTCTGTTGCGAAGCTCGAGAGAGGTTTTCTTGTCACATTGATTCGTAGCGGTAACAAAGAGGTGAGCTGCTTGGATCTAAGTTGAGAGTTCATGTTCTTCTCATTGCAGTTTGAGAAACGAACGCCCAGTGACTTCGTGACTACTTTTGATGGATCCCTCCAAGTGAGTTTTGCTTCTTTCTTCCTCCTTATATCTATGTGTAAACGTAGAGTGTCTTCCTAGGCGCCTACCAAAGACCAAGTGCAAAAGCAAGCGCCACAAAAGGCTGTAAGTTTCTTGCCTGGACCGAATTGCTTTAGCAAGGCTGCCATCAGAAATGTACTCCCAGACCCGGATTTACCGTCCGGCTACAGTTCGGACGGTCTAGAAACGGGAGTCTCTGAGTCTGAGAGTGGCGAGTTGGCAGCCATCGAGCTGATGCAAGCCAGTAGTCTGAAAGGATTGGAGCCGGCATGGGACAGACCGATTCCTCCAAAGTTTCCACTTCGCAAAGAAGAGGTAGGCTGTTGATTGCCCATACTCATAACTCAAGGTAGCTAATCAATCATTTCGTTTTGTGACAAGCTTCTTTGGCTTACTCCAGACAGCGAACACGACCTCTTATGGCATTCTGGGATGTGTGCGGATTCAAGTCGGGGTGCTGCAGTCCGTGAGCTTATCGCAAGGGCTTTGAAAGGCGCACTAGCTCCGGCACAACAGCAGGTTGCTTCTACTTGTAGATGCCTTGTGCTCATAGTTTTACGAATTTACAGCAAGTTCTTCAAGAGCTGGAGTCCGATCCGAAGCTTGTCTATCACTGTGGTCTCACGCCCCGTAGACTACCAGTACGTATGGCACTCTTTTAGGCTGTTTGGCTTATCAATCTCTCATCATTAGGAACTCGTTGAAAACAATCCTATTATTGCAGTTGAGGTTCTTCTCAAGCTGATGAACTCGGTACAAAGCTCCGAGTAAGTACGTCTGTGGAGATTACAAGCTGTTTATCTCGCTTCGGTTTCTACAGGTATTTCAACGCGCTTGTAAGCATGGACATGAGCCTGCACTCCATGGAAGTCGTCAATCGCCTGACAACGGCCGTGCAGATCCCTGTCGAATATATCCATGCCTACATTAACAATTGCATATCTTCATGCGAGAATATGAAGGTAGGAGTGGCCTAGAAGTGAGCATGGCTTGTTCATTCGGTTTCTTAGCAGGACAAGTACATGCAAAATCGATTGGTGAGACTGGTGTGCGTCTTTTTGACGAGCCTCATTCGCAATAGAATCATAAACGGTAACGAAAAACATTTTTCTCTTACTGAGGACTTAACGTTAGTTTGTGGTGTAACAGTTCACGATCTGTTTATCGAAGTTCAAGCGTTCTGCATCGAGTTTTCCCGCATCAGAGAGGCCGCGGGCCTTTTCAGGCTGCTCAAGTCACTGGAATAGGTACATAGCTAGGCCAATTTATTGCAAGCTAATTTGTGAAACTGGATCCGCTGCAATGGAAATAGTATTTTCCTTACAAGTGTTGTTTGGGGGTTAGGGAAGGCTACAGAAAATGGATGCTCTACGACTCCAGTTCCAGTTCTCAGGGAAACTGCTTCAGAGCTCTTCGAAAAGATGCTCCTCAAGTTCCAAGCAAAGTGTTTGCCGATTGGGTGCTGTAGAACTCGAAGACTGCGCTCTCAAAGTAGCTCAATTTGATGGTGGCAAGCCGGTGGAAGAGTCTTTGACAGCACCCAGTTCCTGGTACTGGAGTTCTTCGCTCGCGTCACTCGAGATGGAGTGCATCTTTGGAAGAGGTTGGCATGCCGCAGGTACTTCACTTTCTTTCGGTTTTGCTTGTCAACAATGCCCGTTTTCTAACCAGGTTATGTCGAGCAGCTGGAAAACCCGAGGCAGTTCTTCACTGGAAGGTATTTTTGAGTCGTGTTGAGAAACTTTTCATTCTTTTGAGTTTTATCCAGCCTCGGGCGAGTGAGATACGTTGTTTGCAGAGACGAGCAAGGTCAGCTTCATGCATTTCACAATGTCTGTAGGCATCATGCTGCGCCTGTTGCTTCTGGCTCTGGATGTACGCCTTCGTTTTCATGTCCTTATCATGTCTGTGAACAATCTCTCTGGCCTGTAAAACTAACTTGCCTTTTTTTTTTCTTGCAGGGATGGACCTACGGCCTCGATGGTAATCTTCTAAAGGCCACTCGTATTACAGGCATTAAGAACTTCAATCCACGGGTAAGTTGAGTCTTTCTCTTCTTTTGTGTGTTGTCTAATCGTGTCATGCGTTCACAGGAAAATGGCTTGGTTCCCATCCAAGTGGCTGCATGGGGGCCTTTTGTGCTCATTAATCTCGATGCTCAAGCAAATCAGGAACTTGTAGCGGTCGAGTGGCTTGGATCCTCTTCTGATTTGCTAGTTGCGGCCGGTATTGATAGATCCTTACGACATGTTGCACGGAGAGACTACGTTATCGACTGCAACTGGAAAGTATGTGTTTTCTTTTCTTTTTCTGTATAAAATGCGTCAAAAGCTAATGCTTTCCAATGTCAACAGGTATATTGTGATAACTATCTGGATGGTGGATATCACGTACCTTTTGCACATCCGGGGCTGGCAAAGGGATTGGATCTCGCATCGTATAAAACTGTGGTAAGCTCTGGTTTTCGGTTTTTATTTATTTGTTTCTCTCTTTACGTTTTTTTATGTGATTAGCTTTATGAAACTGTGAGCATCCAAAGCTGCAGGTCCAAGAACACTGGAGAGGAAAGACTTGGAGAGCGCGCTACGTATGCTTTCGTGTATCCAAATTTCATGATCAACAGGTAGACACTTCGGTTTTCTATTTTTTTTTGCTCTGACTCCAAACCAACAGGTATGGGCCATGGATGGACACCAACCTGGTTCTTCCAATCGCTCCAAACAAGTGTCAGGTTGTGTTTGACTACTACCTGGAGCCACAGTTCTGCGTAAGCTTCCGCAATCTCGTCTCGCAGCTCGCTCACTCTTTGCACCACAGCAGGACAAAGAATTCATCGCTAGCAGTCTCGAGGAAAGCGATCAAGTCCAGGTACGATTCATCTTAGTTTTTTTGGTTTGTGCTGAAAAAGCTGCGTGTTTTTATTAGAGAGAAGACGTAACTCTATGTCAGAGTGTCCAGCAAGGTCTCGAGTCCTTGTCGTATGACGCGGGACGTTACGCACCCAAAGTGGAAGAGGCGATGCACCACTTCCACTGCCGCCTCCACAACGATCTTCTCCTGGGAATCAAACGCGCAAAAATTCCTAGTGGTATGTGACAATCTTCTTTTCATCCACACCACAGTTGGTCTAACGATTCCATTCCATCGCTGGTTTTATAGTTGAGCGCTCGTGTCGAAGAGAAGTTTGAGCACGGATCCAAGATTCTTTTAAGTGACGCTAACAGGAATCGAGCTCCGTGTCAAATTCCACTACCACGTGTGCGATAAATATCTTGTAAGACCTTTCCATTTGGCGTAATGAGAAAAAACTTTGTTGGTAGCGGAGCGGAATAAAGTGAATGAATATTCTCCGCCCAGATGCTTGGCCGAACCCTCCAGCGTTATCTCTCCACGTGTCGCGCTTGGAGGCCCCAAGATCGGGTGCCCTGATCTTCGACGTGGCAGGTATAAGACCGTCGATGCTTCTGGTGTGCGAGCTTTTGTGGCACTGGCGATGGATGCGCCAAAATGCTCGTCGATCGAGGAAGGAACGCGCTCGTTTTCTCCGGATTTGAGGTAGCTGTGGCGGATTCTCTCGGCGCATTCGATCGGCATCGGTGATAATTCGAGGGGAAAGATCGGGCATTCTCTTCCGGGGATAGGAATCATAGAAGGCGAGGCTCCGATCGAGAATGCGCGCCGTGTCGAGCTCGTCGTGCCACTGCTGCTGCTCGGTCGATGCCGGGGAGCTGCGCGAGGCGGCCAAGAGCTGGACAGCGCCGGCGGGGGCCGCGGCGAGGAGAAGAGCCAAGGGATTGCGGCTGCGAGCGTCTGTGGGCGTGGATGGAAGCCCCGTGGGAGCGAACAATGTGCCGGATTACAGGGTCTTCTCCACCATGATCGCTGATAGCCCCGCGGCGCTGCCATCGCAGCAAAAGGTTTACGATGTGGTGCTCAAGCAAGCTGCCTTGGTCGAGAAGCTGGGGAAGCTCGAGAAGTTCCCAGCGATCCCTGTGACGAACAGAGATCTCTTGGAAGAGGCGTATACCAGGTGTGGAGAGATTTGTGCCGAATATGCCAAGACCTTCTATCTAGGTGAGACGATTCTAAACGCGCGAATGATTCTTCTCACGAATGGTGTGGTGTTTGTAGGGACTTTGCTGATGACTCCAGAGAGAAGGAAAGCGATCTGGGCGATATATGGTGAGTTGATCTAGAAGAACTCTTTGTTTTTCTTTGTTTTGTTTCTACTTCCTTTGCGGCATCCGTGATTTGTTTTTTGTTTTCTATTGAGCTAGTGTGGTGCAGGAGAACTGACGAGCTCGTGGACGGGCCAAACGCAGCACACATAACTCCCACGGCGCTGGATCGCTGGGAGCAAAGACTAGAAGATCTCTTCGTTGGAAGGCCTTTTGACATGCTCGATGGAGCACTGGCAGACACTGTTTCGAAGTATCCGGTTGACATCCAGGTATTCTAAAGACATTTCTCTTGCGGATATTATATGCTGATCATTCCTTCGAATCGTTCATGCAGCCGTTCCGGGACATGATAGAAGGCATGCGACTGGATCTGGTAAAGTCGAGGTACAAAAATTTTGACGAGCTTTACCTGTATTGCTACTACGTCGCCGGCACTGTGGGACTCATGAGCGTGCCAGTGATGGGCATTGCGCCGGAATCCAACGCTAGCGTGGAGAGCGTCTACAATGCCGGCTTGGCCTTGGGCATCGCGAATCAGCTAACCAACATTCTCCGGGACGTCGGGGAAGAGTGAGCCTGAGATCATCCTTTGCTTTTGAGAAAACTCAAGCTCGATTTGCTGTCCAGTGCCGGGAGAGGACGAGTCTATCTCCCTCAAGACGAGCTCGCCAAGTTCGGCCTATCGGACGAGGACATCTTCGCGGGCAAAGTTACTAACAAGTGGAGAGCGTTCATGAAGGACCAGATAACGAGAGCTCGGAAGTTCTTCAAGGAGGCCGAGCTGGGTGTCATGGAGCTAGACAAAGACAGCCGGTGGCCTGTAAGTCAACAGCACGTTTTCTAGCTTCGCTTTCTAGCGTTTTCGGCCGTTCACGTTTTCTAGCGTGGCCTTGTTCCAGGTGTGGGCTTCGCTGCTGCTGTACCAGCAGATTCTAGACTCGATCGAGGCCAACGATTACGACAATTTCAAGCGAAGAGCCTACGTTGGCAAGTGGAAGAAGCTCGTGTCACTTCCCAGCGCGTACGTTCGTGCTATCTCGCCGGATGTCTCTCGCCTCGTTCCAATGAGTTGAGATTGGTGGAGTGGGCGATTCCATCCTCGCGCCAGAGATCGCCCAAATACCTCCCAAAACAGCCAGGAAGAACAGGATTAGAGATTTTCTCCCCGAGAGAGGAAGAAACTTGTCCGGGCCTCTCTCACTAAATCAAAGAGATTCTTTCCACTAGATCGACTCCTGGGAGCGTTTCCTTCTTTGTTTAAGAACAAGCCTTCGATCAAAACATCTTGATCGGGCTACTAAGTGATCGCGATCGATCGATCGCGCAGTGGTGCTACACGCTGTTTGATCACACGGACGATGCAAATGCCTGGTCTTCTTCTTCCTCCTCCTCTTGCCCGCGCGGCGATTGATGGCTCTGCTCGTGCTGCGCCGGCGGCTTTTGATCGCTGGCGTGATGGTGTCGCCCAATGCTGTAGACGAAATGGAGCTGCTTGCTCTCCACCTTGGTGAGATCCATATGCCGGAGGATGACCAGCACACACCCAGAGATTATCACTGCCACCATCAGAGCTACCAGGATTGCAAGCAAAAGGAGGCCGGGATTGATCATCCTCTCTTTCCCACAGGGATGGAGGAGGCACTTGGAAAGATCTGCAAGCTCCTCTTCTTCCTCCTCTTCCAGCGAGGAACTGGAGACAGCGGCTTGAAGAAGAAGAAGAGCTCGCTCGCTCGCTCGGCCGCCCGCGCCGTCCCTTGTGTGGTGCGAAGAATCAGTGGCTCCAAAGTGGTGGAGGGCACGCACATATTCCAGCTCCATACTTGACAATCCAAATCCACCTGCGCGCACTCGCTAGATCCATGACGCTAACGTGTGTGCTCACCATGGAAAGTTCCCTTCGTTTTTTAACAATGCGTCCTCCCACCATGGATATGCGAAGAAGGGATCGCTCACCATGGAAAATTCCCCTCGTTATTTTAACAATTCGACCCACCATGGATATGCGATCAAGGAATATGCAAATAGTCCTAGTCTTTACTAATCTCACTTTAATGCAATATTTAAAAAGATAATGAAACTGTAGCATTACGAGAATCGAAATCGCACCCACCACTAAACCAAATGGATAAGAGCTTAAAAAATGCAGGTTTGTCTGAACACTAAAGTTGCCACATTTTTATTTCTTATATTGAGTCTTCTGCAGAAAGTTTAAGCATTGATCAACCCCATCACCAATTTGAACTAAGTCACCATCACCCTCAATTTCCATCACTTAAACCCAAAAGGTGCAACATCCTTTCTTAATTGATTTTGGAGTGACCCTCGCAATTAAGAATTTATCATCCTAAAGCACATTATTCTGATAATGGGCCTTGCTTGCATTTTGAAGGGTTTGGTCTTTATTTCTCAAAGACAGGATGAAAACCCTTGCTGAGAGCTCTATCGCACACGTAGCGTCGACCAAGGCAGAAGTAAGAGCACCATGCTTATGCTGTGGTTTTATTTAGATTGCTTAATCTTTCCGAATGTTAGCAACTGGGAACATGCTCTTCAGTGAAGGGCCCTGAATCTTCTCAAGCTTGTTGTGCTTGTCCAACATGGGGACCTTATCGATCTTATGGATAGCGTGAAATAGCCGCAGCAGGTCTTCGCCCAAGACACCAGCAAATGCACCAAGGCCAGTTACCTTGAGGATGACTTGATTGTCTCTCTCCATGTTTAGCCACGCCAGCCAAGCCTTATAGAGGCGCTCCTCCTCCTGCCTTTGCTCCAATGAGTCTAGATGATGAAGCCTCCGCATACGGGCTTCAAGTTGCACCTCGTCCGGTTCAGCAGACTCTTCCGTTTCCGAAAACTCCTCTTCCACCTGTTCCTTGTCCTTGGCTGCTATGACACAGCTTTCGTCTTCATGTTCTTCCTCAGTGCAGCTTCGACGTCGTACGGATCCACAAGAACCGCCTCTGCCCCCATAATATCGCCCACGTTCATGTAGAGGCTCAAGAAAGGGAGCGCGTCTGAGATTTGGACCCCACCGTACTGCGGCGACACCTTGGCTAAGCCACCATCTCCCGGATTGGTGATACGGAGCTTCACCTGTACGTGCACCAAAGTCACCTGTGCGACCATGGCAGAAAGAAGTCGACTCCCCATGTCCCGTCGTAGCAGATGATCGCACAGACATTCTCATTCGTGAACGTCAACTTGCCACGCGCAACCTCTTCAGCTGGTCGGTGTCCAAGCTCCTTAACTCCTGTACTTGCATCGCCTGCTGTCGTCTATGCTTCCCGCTCCTGTACTTGGCAAATTCTGTCAGAGATTTCCCAACCAAGTGCTCGATGAACTTGTCCACAGTACAGGAACTCTCTTCGCTGCTTGCTTTATCAAATGCCCGTAGAAGGATGAGCCTAGCAGTACCTCGTGCAGGTGAGAGTATAGTTCAACGTTCCTCTTGTCTTCATCCAGCTTCCTCATCACCTGGGCAGCAGCCTGTGCGAACACGGGCTCCATAGCCGTGCCAACCCAGATTTGCTTGCGATTTGGCTCCACCTTGACGACGGTCATGAGATGCGCCGCGACCAGCTTGCTTGTAAGGCTATAGGTAGGATCGAAGTCGATGGCACACCTCGCCCCTAACACAGCTAAAGCGGCAGCCGTTGTCAGATGCCCCTTCTCGACCATGTAAGTATTCCACGCGCTTCCGCCTCCAAGTAGCTTGTTGCGTGCCATATTTATCACCTTTCGCAGGGCAACCTTCGGTGTGAGCTTTTTGGCTAGAGCGCCGCGGAAGACAGCCCACCACAGAGGCCGTCCATAGTGCAGAGGATAGTGCTCTGATAGTATACCCGCATCCAGTCCGTGAGCTTATCTGCACAGAAGCAGCCCCAAATCGGAGACGCCAGGCTAAAAGCTTCTAAAGCCAGCCTGTCTGAAGGTTGTAACGAATCCGGAATTGCGAAATTTGGTAACAGGAAATGAGTATCTGAGAAGACCGCCAGCACACCGTCATCCGGCTGAAGCGCTGCTGTTGCACGGCGCAAAGGTAGGGAAATGTTGTTGTCTATCCCGCTACCGAGCAATTCCCTTGCTTCGTCAAAGACGAGCAACAGTCGAAGTCCTGCCTTTTGAGGCAGGTGACAGATGG